TTGGAGAAATATTTGCATAGAAAAAATATAAATATAAAAATATGTGGAGTCCTGTAGCTCAGTGGTTAGAGCACTCGCTTTGCAAGCGAGAGACCTGAGTTCAATTCCAGGCAGGGCGAAACCTTGGGCAAGTTTCCTTACTCCACACGCCTAATAATAATCCCTCCAAAAACCAAAACAATAATAAATTGGTCATTTTCAATCTACGACTGTTTGTGGGACATTGCTGTGCGCAATTGGCTGCCGCGTTCGCCCACAAATATACAGTCAATTCACTTTACAGTGTGTTCTGTGAAGCGCTTTGGGACGTCCTCCCGACGTGAAAAGCGCTATATCAAATGCAAGGATTATTATTATTATTATTATAAAAGGGTTTGGGCAAAAAGCAAAGAACTGGAATTAGAGCAGTTGGCTATTTCAGTGGACGAACTGGTACCAGCAAAGGCTCGATGGGTCAAATGGACACCTACTGTACTGCAATTTGTTTAACTTTAATCAGCACCTAGGCAGGCAACAGAAGGAACAATTAAGGATGTGAAGCATCTATCCTTCCCCCTCTGCACCAAATCCCCACTCTCTCCAAATTCCTGTTGTAGAGGCCTCACTCTGTTCCCAGCTCACTCTGTTCCCAGCCTCCTCTGGTGGGCTCTCTGCTCATATCTCTGCTAAGGATATTGACCAACAGCAGTCAGTGATCTGCTCCAAGAGTCTTGAAGGCATTAAGAGAGGAAGCAATCCAGGGATATTTTGGAAAGTTGCAGAAAGCAAAGGCATAATTGCTGATCGTGACCACCAACAGCGGGTCACAGCAAGTGAAGTCACTGAATGAAACAGCCAATGATGCAATATTATTAACATAATTCTGATTTTACATTAGGTCAACAAGGAGGAAGTAGGCTTGCCAAAAGGTTAGGTAAAGGAATTTTCCAAGGGAAAAATGCTTCATATGTGTAAAGTGACCACAAGAACAAACCTGGTTGCCAAGATGTCGCTCTTCAAACCTTTCCACCCTGTATGAAGGCTTTAAATATTCTACACAGTACACTTATTCAAGTATATGTGCTGGATTATGTCACAAGCCGGCCACACATCAAGGGATTGAGATGACATTAATGTTATCACAATCCAAAAATGCCTCATTAAATCATGTTCAAATTGTAGGTTATTTTATTCTCCATTTTCTGAAGTTCTTTTCTTACTTGGGCAGATCTTATGATAGAGGACAGATGTAAGCCTCACTTAATTGAATCAAAAGATTTAACCTCAAGTGATATCAGGTTTTATATCACTGTGTAACAGAAGGGGTAGTATACCCTGCACTGTTTGCTCTAACTTTATGTAATGATTGATCATGTGGGTTGACATTCGCCATTAATACATTCTAGCGTTCAATGAAAGCTAGGACCACTTGGACTACCAGATCAAATCAAATTCTTAAAGTTCAACGAACAGGCACAGTTAGGATTTTTACCTCTATGTTTCTTAAAGATGATGTTTGGAGTAAAATATGTGTAATAAATTTAAAAAATACTGGATGCACTTGTTGCATTAAAGTCAAATGCAACCCGGACTAAAAACAGAAGAGTGGGTAAGGCCATTCGTAGATTGATAAAAGATATCAAAAGATAACAGTTTAATCAGTAATGCAGGAGGATATTTAATCCTCTTTTACCAGTATGACCGCTTCAGAAAATGGAGATTTTAAAGATTTCTATACAACAGTAATGATAATAATAATCCTTGTATTTGATATAGTGCTTTTCACATCTTCTAGATGTCTCAAAACGCTTCACAGAATCTACTGTAAAGTGAATTGACTGTATATTTGTGGGCGAAACACAGCAGCCAATTGTGCACAGCAGTACTGACTAAAATTACAAAGCTGAGGAAAAGACCTAGCCAGAATAATAATTTGAAGAATACATGTCAAACGTGTAATTGAAGACAGATCAGATCTCACAACATGTTGAAGACATAGATTAAAAGAAAAATCACTATACATTTATGGGAATTTATCTGATCCAAGTACTTCAGGAAACATACCCAAATTGGATGCATGGCCTTCCGGGAGCACATTTCTGATGCACTGTTAAATCAACACAATTTTTAAAAGAATTAAACAACCTTGTTTAATCCCAAAACGTTTTTTAAATCATGTGCAATTTCTAGTGTAAGAGGCACTGCATAAAAAAACACCAAAAGAGAAACATTCATTCCTCTAAATTGTTTCCAGCTTTCCAAGTGATCACAAAGTTCATTATATTGTATCTTAAATATCTTTTTATATGGAAACTAAGTTACAAAAATTTTAAATAGAATACTTGCATCAGTTAATGAGAAGATTTGATATCGAGTGAAGGTCTCAAAACACCACTCATCCACTGCCATAAATTCTTCCTTTCCTATTTCACTGTGGACCACTGGTCTTTCTCGACACTGTGGACCACTCTATCCTTCTCCACTGCCTCTCCCCTCAACCTTCAAGGTTCTATCCTTGAATGGTTCAGATCCTTATCTCCCACACCGGCTCCACTTTGTCTCCACAAACAGCTTCTCCTCCAGCCCCAACATTGTCTCATGCAGTGTTCCTCAGGGCTGTCTTCGGTCCTCTCCTCTTCAACCTGTGCATGATCCCTCTTGGTGGTATCATCCACAGACACGGGTCAACTTCCACATGTGTGCAGATGATACCCAACTCTATCTCTCGGACTCCACTCTCGACTCCAGGACCACTGCTATCCTGACAGACCGCCTGTCAAACATCGTCCTGGATGAGAGCCAACTTTCTACAATTGAACATCAGCAAGACTGAAATTCTCCTGATTGGCTCACGCCAGCGCCAACGCACCTCAGGCACTGGCAGCATCAGCATCCACGAATGCACACTCCACCTCAACAAGCCAGTCGGGAAATTAGGCATCTTGTTCGACCCTCAACTGTCCTTTCTCCTCCACGTCCATGCCATGACCTGCTCTGCCTTTCCCCCCTCCGCAAGATTGCCCAACTCCACCACTCCCTGAACCCTCAGGCCGCCAAAACGCTTATACATGCCTTCATTACATAATAATAATAAAAATCCTTGCATTTGATATAGCGCTTTTCATTTTTAACTAAATGAATATCTATGGCCTGATAGTTGAAAACAAGTCTTAAATAATAAGCTCATTGTTTTTGGAAATTGTTTGTCCATTTACATGATGTATAATAAAAATAATAATAATCCTTGCATTTGATATAGCTCCTTATCAAGTCTTCTAGACGTCTTCTAGAAGTGCTTCACAGAATATGCTGTAAAGTGAATTGACCGTATATTTGTGGGCGAAACATCCAGGCTCAACTTTGCCAAAGTCCTGCTTGTCGGCCTTCCCAACTCTTCCCTCAATAAGCTACAGATCATCCAGAACTCTGTAGCCCGTGTCCTCTCCCGCACCAGGCTCCGTGACCACATTACCCCCACCCTCGCCTGGCTCCACTGGCTCGCCATCCCTCAGAGGATTGCGTTCAATATCCTCATCCGCACCTTCAAGACCCTCCATGGTCTTGCCCCCTCCTACCTCTCCGACCTGCTAACCCCTCAGCAACCTGTCCGCTCCCTATGCTCAGCAGGCTCTGGCCTGCTCCGTGTCCCCTGCCTGGCCTGCCCCACCCCACCACCAGCATCAGCCCTTCAGCCTCTCTGCCCCCACCTTCTGGAACTCCATCCACATTCCCTTTGCCTCGCTCCCTCTTGCCTATCTCATGACCTTCCTCTTCAACCATGCCTTCAGCCAACCTCCTACCCTCTCTGCCCTCCACCCTTCCTGATCCCAACACCCCCTGCTCAGTTTCTAATTCCTGACTGTTTCTGCGCCTTGGATATCCTCCCGACGTGAAAGACGCTTTGTAAGTGTAATTTTTTATTGTATATATACTTTTGCATCCCTTTCTTGAGTCTTGAAAAACAATATCCCCTGCAAATATTTTTTCTGTGGAACCAAACTGATGCAATTCTACACTCTGATAAATTTTAGAATTGAAAATAAATAAAGCATGAATATTTGATTAGAATTGGTCAAAATGCAATATAATATTCAACGTTGATATTTTTGTATAAAAAAACACATTGGCTGCAATACAAAAGATAAAATCAAGATAAATACTATTTTATTAAACCAACAATTTATTTATGAATTAGTTTTAAGCAGTCAACATTATTAAATCGGTCTTTAAAATGTAGCCTTAAGAAAAAAAGTGTAAATGCTTTCCTTTTCATCTCTACCTATTTTTCTGTATTTAATATTTTTCTGTACACATAAGTTTGTTGCAGAATTAATTTGACATCACATAAAGGGGTTGAAAATATGGTTCCTTCCAAATGGATTTCTTACTGACTCGTAGGAAGTTTACTCAAGAAGGATAATATATATAAGCAGAATTCCTGTGTGTATCATAGATACACTTCAGGTACCTGGAAGAAATTCACATTTGCGCAACTCAAAGTACTTTCCAATAATAATAATCCTTGCATTTGATATAGCACCTTGTCACGTCTTTGAGACATCTCAAAGCGCTTCACAAAGTGAATTAACTGTATATTTTGTGGGTGAAACGCAGCAGCCAATTGCACACATCAGTGTCCCACAAACAGTCGTGGATTGGGTGACCAATTATTGCTATTATTTTTTAAGGGATTATTACCCCTCGGAATAGCGATCCGCCATTTGACTAACAACTGGGTTCCTCCTTACTGCTAAACAGAGGTGTGTGGAGTGAGGAATCTTGCACAACGTTTCGCCCTGCCCGGGAATCAAACTTGCAAGGCGAGTGCTTTAACCACAAAGCTACAGGACTCCATTGGACTCCATTAAGGAACCTTGTTAAAAATAATTGCACTTTCAACAGTCTGTTATCAGCTTCATTCAGTAAAAACAGAAAACACATTAAAAAGCTAAGAAGCCTTGATGTGATATGGAGAATTTCTGCAGAATAATGCTACAAAAAATAGTCACAGTACACTGCACTTTATTTATTAACAAGGTTGGAAACAAAACTGTTAAAGATACAAAACAATTTTTATGCTGCACATTATAGATCTAAAGACATGAATACATTTACATTTTCCTTCACCATCATTTATTGTGGGTTCAGTAGTTTCTTTGCTTTTCCCATCCAGAATATGCTGCGTTTTTAAACAGAAGCAGCTGAAACCAGGCTGTGTGGCTGCAATCCCTTTTCCATGTGTACCTAAATGAAAAATAGACTCAAACATTTAGATATTAAGTATTTTATCACTGCATTTCCCAACATTGTAAAACAAATACAATAATGTTGCTATTACTGCTACAGCACAATAATTTTGCAAAAAATATGAAAGAATTTACTTTAAGCCAACAAATTCTATAGTGTTTGGTTTTCTTTCTCTACCATTCTAAATTCATATGCATGTATTAAGCAAAGATGATCTAATCATGCATGAATTTCAAAAATAACTTATCCAAATTGCTAATGCTAAGACTCTCTTTAAGAGTATAGTTAGATTGGCTTGGTACATGAATTGAACGCACATTGAAGTAAAAAAAAATGGGACTTGCAGACATATAGTACTATCCATATTAAACAGAAGGAGCAGAATGTGCCTTTTAAAACAAGTTTCAGCAAGAGCAATACAAGACGCATATTATAAATACTGTATTACAAAATTTCTGTGGAATTTTACTGTATGCAATCAGTGGACAATCAAAAGATAACAACCTATCAAATCAGACTTTCACATAACAAGAGTGTCTCAAGTTGATTATGAAACTGATAATATTGACAACAAAAGAAGAAAATCTAACACAAGAACAATTTCAATATATTAGAATATTGTCAGCAATTTGCTTGTATCATGATTGTGGACTCCTGTAGCTCAGTGGTTAGAACAATCGCCTTGCAAGCGAAAGACCTGGGTTCGATTCCGTGCAGGGTGAAATGTTGGGCAAGTTTCCTTATCCACACTCCTCTTAGCTAGCAAGTAGTAAGTAGAAACCCAGTTGTTAGTCGATTGGTGGATCACTTTTCTGGGTATAATAATCCCTCCAAACCCCCCGCTTCCACCCCCCCACCAAACAATAATAATTTGGTCGCTCAATCCACGACTGTTTGTGGGACACTGCTGTGCGCAATTAGCTGCCGCATTTCGCCCACAAATATACCGTCAATTCACTTTACAGTATATTCTGTGAAGTGCTTTGAGACATCTAGAAGACATGAAAAGCGCTATATCAAATGCAAGGATTATTATAATCTAAAAAGAGCGGAAAACTAATACTTACAAAAATGAAAGTAAACGGAATTTAAAACAAACGGAATAAATAGTAAATGAAAGTTAAAGATACAGATATTTGTTAGGTAGGGATATCAAGGGATATGGGGCAAAGGCGGGTAATTGGAATTGAGATACAGATTAGCCATGATCTTACAGAATGGCGGAACAGCCTCGAGGGGATGAATGGCCTACTCCTGTTATTATGTTCCTATGTTCTTAGTGGGAGGTGTCTACTTGCCTCAGTTGATAGTACTCTGGCCCAAGTTAGAAGGTTATTGGTTCAAGTTCCACGACAGGATTTTGAGCCCATAGTCTAGACAAGCACTGCATTGCTACAGGTGCCATCCTTCAAATGAGACATGAAGTCTTGTGTTTGTTTAAGTTGATATTAAAGATCCCATGGCGCTATTCGAAAATAGATGGGAGTTTCACCTAGTATTCTGGTCAACAATCCCTCAAATAAAATTTGTTACTCACTTCATGGCTGTTTCTGGACACAGCCCTGAGTAAACTGACTGAGAAAATGCAATCACTAGCCTTTAATTCTATGAAGTGCTTTGAGCTGTTTCAACAACATAATGTGCTATATCAAATGGAAAGCCGATGATGATTAAGTGCATTTAAAAAAAAATTGGGACCAGCTAATTTTTTTAAGGTCCTGTATATTTCTCTGATGTACTCTCAGCAATTGATGCTCAGAGACCAAAACTTTGAATTTATTTGCATTTCATATGCATTTCTTATCTCCCCCAACACACACGCACACCTTAAAATAGAACAGTATTCAGCTAGGTTTAATTTCAGCTGAACATATCTAGGTCAAATAAACCCCTCAAGACTTTATGATAAGGCTCTTATAGCAAATACAGGTTAATGTGCATAAAAATAAAAACGTCTCTTAGATAATAAAATTCCTGGGGCACTAATTTGAACAACAGGAACTCATTCCATTACTCTTACCAATATGCCTACTTAATTCAACATTCACCCCCCAAATTGATTGGCACTTCATCCCATTGCTGGTTTCACATATCTTCAAGGACAGGGCCCCTCAGCCCGCTCCTGTTCATTATCTATATGCTCCCACTTGACGACTTCCACTTAACAGCAAATATGGGATTCAGTTCTACACGTATGCAGATGACATCCAACATCTTCCCTGTCTCGAGCCTAGACTTCAATACCACTGCTGTTCTGTCCAATCAATGTCCTGTCAAACATGAAGTCCTGGGTGAGCCCTAACTCTCTTCAGTTGAATGTTGACGAGAAACAGTATTCTTTGCTTGGCTCCCATCAGCACCTTTTCACGTCGAGCACTAAAAGGATCTACTGCATGGATGCACATTCATTGTCTTGCTTGACTCCCAATTGTCTTTCAATTCCCACACCATTGCTGTTATCCACACAGCTTTTCCTCACCTCAGAAACATTACCCCTCCCGCAATGCCTATTCCCTCAGGCTCGACAACAGCAAAGCTCTGCTTGCTGGACTCCCCAGCTCTTCCCTCCACAAGCTGCACACAATCCAGAACTCTGTAGCCCATGTCTACTTCCTCACTAGGCTCCGCAAGCCTCTCACTCCTATCCTCCCATGGCTCAACTGGTTCCATATCCCCCAGCGGATCAAGTTCAAGATCCTCGTTCAAATCTCTCCAGTCTCGTGCCAGTCTATCTCAAGGATCTCCTTCAACCACACTGACCTGGCCGCTCCATTCGCTCAGTGAGTACTGGCCTGCCTCACGTCACCTACGGTATCTGTCCCACCATCGGAAGACTAAGTGAATAGTATATCAAGGATTATTATTATAAAGTGCACCTGTAATTTACTTTGTACAAATGGTGAGTACACAAATAAATTAGACCCCACTGACAATTTACATGTATCAGTAATGAATATTACATCTTATTATTTGATGGACTTCATTTGGTTGAACATTCTGCCCCTGTGGCTAGAAGAGCTGTGGGATGTTACCCTGCATTTGGGGGCACTATATAAATGCAAGTTGTTGTTGTTGGAAATCCACCCTGGAGACCCTGAACCTGACCCCCTCGTTCCCCACCTTAAGACCTACCTTTTCAACCATGGTTTCGGACATCTTTCCAACTCCAACAACCACCCTCCTCAACTTCAGGTACCCAATTAGCTGTTCTTCTAATATGAAAGGGCCATATAAATGTAAATTATTGTTGCGTCAATGCAGTACAAGGGAATACTGCATTGTTGGAGGAGCAGATCGCATGTCAGGTGACTCTAAAAATTCCCACAGCACAATTGAAAAAGAAGAGGGTTTTTCACCTGGTGTCCTGGAAAATAATATCTCAGATAAATTTGGCCTTTCACTTCATGGATGTTTGTTGGACACTGCTCTGCGTACATTTGCTACCGCATTCGCCTACAAATATAGTCAGTCCACTCACAGAAAGTTTGTGAAACAATTTGAGGCAACATTATACACATATCAAATGCAAGATTTATTTTTAATTTCTGTCTTTTTTTGTTTTTCCTCTAGATGGCACTCTAGTCATTTTAAACCAATTGAAAGTTTTGCCGCCACAACAACGAGCATTGTCTAAACATCTAGGATTCAAATCCCTGGTTATGTACACTTTATGTAACTTAATGTTCGCAGAAGATCAGGGAAAGTTGCTTCCACTTATTGCCCTAACAGGTCACCCTGGCTCTGAAGGTAGCACTCTCACCTTTCGATTCAGAAAGATGTGGATTCAAAGCCCCACATCAGGGCTTGTAATTCATCTGGTCTATGCTGATATTCTAATGCAGTACTGGGTGCGCACTGCATTGTTGGAGTTATATTGACAGCCAACACTGGTTCAGAAAGTCTCATCTAACCAACCTCATAAGACTTTGAGGAGACTTCCAAAAAAAGTACCTCAAGGACTTCTTTATAAACTGTGATCACTGGGCATCATGCACATTGATTCAGAATTGGCTGAAGGGAAGGAAGCAAGTCTTTTTAGGGAGCAAGGTCAAAATGGGTAGAGACATTAAGCGGGGTGTTTCAGGAACCCCTCCTGTTCCTCAAATATATTAATGACTTGGAATCGCAGACCCAATGTAAGATAGTTACATTTGCAGATGACACTAAGTGAGGGGTGGAATCAGACGAAACAGCAGACAGCTCGATAGTTTAACCGTATAGGCTGATAACTGTCAAATGAAGGTTAATAATAATAATCCTTGCATCTGATGTAGCCCCTTATCACATCGTTAAGACATCTCAAAGCACTTCACAGAATATACTGCAAAGTTAATTGACTGTACATTTTGTGTGCAAAACTTATAATTTAATTTATAATTTATAAATGTATAATTGTATAGTGGGCGGGGAGGGAAGGGGATTGGGGGAGAAAGGTGATTTTACCAAATAGAGTCCAATAATCTAAATCAGCTCTGCACAATTCTGGAAAAACGTTCTAAAATATTCCCAACATTTGTGAATACATAACTGGAAGTAGAATGCAACAAGATCTCGCAAAACTGAACGCTTGTGTTATTACTGGTATGTTATACAGACCACAGTCACATCACTATCAATACTGTATGTTTCTCCTTATAACATTCAAAAAAATCTTAAAATGCTATGCCAGAGGGAAAACATGTTTCTCAAAACATTTGAGTTCACATAAAAGCTAAATATTTAAATATATTACTCAAAAATACATTTTTTATCTTTCCTGGTAATAACACAATTACACATTCAGTTTTAATGGACATTCCGTGAGATCAAGCCAGGTATATTAAGTTGGCCCCACTGTGGTATGCCACTAATTCCATCAGTCATGTAGCTTTACCTACATCATCTTCTTGCTCCAGGCGGTTTATAATAAGGTTGAGTAGGTCTTGTTGAGCGTCTTGGCTGGCCATCCCCACCAGGGCGAAATTCTAGTGTGCTTTCAAATGATTCGTCCTCCTCTTCCTGTTTGCATATATTTAAAAATCCAATCAAAAACATACCACAGAAGACTAAACCGCAATAGTGACATGGACTATCATTTCTCTCTAACTTCAGCATATTGAGCACCAGTTCTCTATTTTTTTTAAAAAAACAGTGGTAATCTCAATTTCCTTCAGCTAGAGTAATTGGTAAACAGAACTGAAAGACCTACAAAGAACCAATCTAAATATGCGCACAAAGTCCTTTTGAAAAGGACTTGTAGGTCAAATGTAAGGATTTTTAAAAATGTTTAGGTGAAACATTGAATAATATTTCAATATGCACAATTCTATTCACATTCACATGTTAAATGTTCCTATTTATTAAACTCAAATGTATTTACTTTAGAAGTGTGTATATTAATTCTTGCCATTTTTTTAAAAATAAAAATAATTCTCAATTTGCCTCACAATAGTGTAATTTTTAACTAAATGCCGTATTTTCAAAATTGAAAAGAATCTTAATTTGCAGTGCTAACCGAATAAAAGGATATGTAGAGTTGCCCTTAATTATGTAATTGAATAAGCAATCAAAAGGATCACAGTAATGACAGAACTGTGTAGTCCTGTATCTTAGAGTTAGAGCACTCGCCTCGCAAGCGAGAGACCTGGGTTTGATTCCCGTGCAGGGCAAAACATCGGGCAAATTTCCCTATTCTACACGCCTGTTAGCATAGCAGTAAGTAGGAATCCGATTATAAGTTGATTGGCAGATCGCTTTTCCAGGGGTAATAATTCCTTAAAAAAAGGTAACTCAATCCTCGACTATTTGTGGGACACTGTTGTGCACAATTGGCTGCCATGTTTCACCCACAAAATATACAGTCAATTCATTTTGCAGTATACTCTGTGAAGCGCTTTGAGACGTCTTTAAGATGTGATAAGGCGGTATACCAATTGCAAAGCTTATTATTCGTAGTATTATAAAGTGCACCTGTAATTTACTTTGTATAAATGGTGAGAACACTAACAAATTAGGCTCCCATGACAATTTCCATGTATAGATAATCAATATTGCATCTTATTATTTGATGGACTTCACTTGGTTGGATCAAATTTATATTGTAGGGAAAAAAATGACACATACTTTACAAACATGTTAAAGATGAATAATATTTCAATGTGCACAAACCTATTTACGTGTAGTATCCTATTTATTAAACACAAATAGCCACAATCTATCACAGTGATTTGAAATTAAATACGTTTTTAATTTATATTGCAACTTTTGAAATTTTCCAATAAGTAGATAAAGATTCTGTGTATAAGGTATGGCTGCAGACCAATAATACATCACAGAATCTGAAATCCTAGCAACAGTCACAAATATTAACTTAATGAAAGCAGACAACTTTTAAATAGGCATTAAGAGTAATGTATATTTCTTGCATGTCTCTCTTCTGAGCATCTATAAAATGAACTGAAATTACTGAGCACTTGGGAGAAACTTAAGTTAATCGGTGCCAGTCAGGCTTTACCAATATTATTGAATTTTTTTTAAAGAAATAAGGACAGATAAAGAAAATGCAATGGATGTAGTTAATATGAATTTTCAAAATTCAAATTGCATTTGATAAGGTACCACATAAGAGAGTTGGCAAAGATTTCACACAGAAATATCCCAGAAACAGCCATTAAAAATGAATGATCAATTTTATTCAGGGGAATTTTTGGCAGGAGTATCAGCCAAGACTATGTGAGGTCAAAGTCCAACACAGAGCTTGAACCCACAACTTTCTGACTCACTGAGGTGAAAGTACTGCTACCAACTAAACCAGGCTGACACCCTTAAGATCAGTAGAGAATTTAACTTAACCTTTTACAAACTAAGAAGTAATTGAATTAAGTATTCTTGCAAAACTATTGATTTCAATTTCAATTTCAAACTATGAAGAGCACAAAATATTCAATATCCAATGTTAATCATTCCAGATTAATGCTGACAGAAAACTAATACTGTAATCTGGTGCTTCCAGGAAGGCAAGAAACAGGAAGCATTTCAAATAGTTTAGGATTCTGGTTCCTCTCCAGAGTAACTTGCCTCAAGTTATTAAACAAAAACTACTGATCCACAAACTGAATTAGATGTTATCAATCCAATAAATGCTCATCCAACTTTATCATTAGATTTTATAAAAGAATATCAGATCCGTCTTAATCTGCTCTGATTCCAGGGGAATAAATGAAATCAATGTTTATAAATCTTTTTGGATTTTTTAAGAAAATATTATTTTTACAATATTGGATTGCTGATTAATTCAAACGAATGGTGCATGCATCCCTTAACATTAAGATATGTTGAACTGGATTTGGAAATCCTCACAAAAAAAATGCATATTTGAATTTATGCCTCAGCTTCAACATCATTACCGAATAAGTTTTGAAATTTCCAACTAACGAATACAGATTTAATCCCTTCGCTACTTCTTAAAAATACCTGAATGAGAACGATAGCCATTTCTTGCATTCAAATTGCATATTTAGTTGCTAACCTGAAAGTTTATCGTACAGTTGTTATATGAATTTAAATTGGATCGTCTTATTGACCATAAAAATTACTTACAGCAACAATTTCATAACTTTAATACAGTTCACAAACTACACTAGATTTGATAACAAAACACTTTTTAAAATATTGATTTCTTTTAAGATAACAATCGTTGCATTTGGTAATGCAAATTATGGTAAGTTCCCCCAAAGTACACTCTCAGAATACATTTTTCTATTTTAATAAATTAACCTGAAATCTTGTAAGAGACAAAAGAATACTTTCAATTCAAAGTAATTCATCCCTATCCTTCTGTATCATCATAAACTAAACATCTTCTGAAATTGAGGAATAACATCAAATATGTGTGCAGCCACCAGCAAAAACACTTGAGCAAACAATGAGTTTGTCTTTTGGGAAGTTTTACTTCAGAATATAGTTTAGGAGAATATAGTTTGACTTCCAAAACTACAAACAGGAAATTTGGGGCAAATAATTAGAAACTAAAGTAGAATACTTACGTACAAAATCAAAACCATAGCACTATCAAACAAACAAATTATAAATATTTTCCAGGTACGGTGTTAATATACAAAATATTTACAGCAACAGTAAACCGTGTTCTGCAAAAATGAATTTCAACTTAAATCTATGGCACACAGGTATGCTGAATTAGATTTAATTCTTGTTGAAATTAAGAATTAATGCTGGAGTCAGTTCCTGGTAACAAAGTGGAAATCATGGAGAAGGAAGGTCAAAAAGAATTAAGATAGACGTTAACCTGAAACAGAGAGTCCTTAGTTATTAACTGTAACTTATATAACAGACAAAAAAGGAAGGGACAAATTCACCCAAGAATGAAGAAAGGAATGTTCATATTCTTGGTTTGGGTGTATATGGATTGACAGCTAATTATATTCTACAATTTATAAATCTTGATATCATTATGTTGGAATCTTACATTGTATAAAGACCTTACTGAGTTTCACACCTCATGCCACTGAATAAAGGATAGACCATATTTTTCAGGTAAATAAGAAGACACATCAGTTGCTACAGTGAGTATTTAATGGAGACCAGGAACAGAAGAGAAATTACAAACGTTTGTGACAAAATGTATAAAACTTTTATTGCAGATAATACATTTTAATACATTTTTCACTGTTTAAATGATTCAAGTTTATTTTAAAGCAATCGTGCTTTGATGTGAAATTGGGTCATCTTTTATGGGCTGCAATCATCGGTGCTCACTCCAATATGGTGGAACAATGGGGGTCCTTCACTCCATTAGAGCATTCTAAAATATGGTAAATAAAATAAAATGTTACCTGCTGTAGCTAGTTGTGTGTAACTAGCTGTCTGAATGATTAATATCCCAAATGCAACGTGCTTTTCTATATTTACCATGATTTAATCATATTTCTGATCAACCAGCAAACTAATAATGGCAGAATTCTATTCAGTGCAAGGTATCTTAGACACCAGCAAAGAAAAATCTCTATTCACGGCTGAACATAGCATTGAATGAATTGACTAAACATTGCATGCAAGATACTTCCAACAGTTCATTTAAAGAAAGTCACGAGAAATTAGATACGTTAGTATCTGGTTACTGTAAACTTTAGTTGAACCCAAATAGGATGGAAATTAAAATAGCTCCAATCATGAATAGCCAAACAAATATTCATTTTTACTCAACTCAGGAGTTGTAATTTTCGAAGCATCATTGCTTATTTGCAATTTGCTTCTAGCACTTTTTATCATGGACATGGGCTATTTATTAGTTCTACATAGGTCTTTGTATAACTTTAAATCTTTATCCTCACAAGCTGCTCTTTCTCTCAAAAGGGTAAAAGTCGTATTTTCACAGCAAAGTCTGTATATTAAAATCAATTACTGGTAATATTCAATACACCACATCAGTATAAGTAATGGGTTTGTAATCTTTTGCAACATGAAGTTATAAAAAAGTGGTAGTTTTTCCAATAATGTTCTGAATGATGTCAATGTGGTTCCATACCTAATCAAATGAGTACATTCTTTCAAATGTTAACTCATCAAGTGCTATTGATAATTTTGCTCATTCAGGCATTAAAATGCTGGGAGAGCAGACTGACATACTTTCAGCAGCACACTTTCTGCCAGTCATAACTCATGAGCCTAAAAATTGTTCCCACTCCAAAATGGAAGAAAAAGGATAGGCAGATATTCAAATTTAATTTTGAAATTAGAAAAAAGCAACACCCACCCTGAATTCATCATGAACTGGCTTAATATTTCTTAGAAGCACTTCCTCATAGTTTCCATAGCCTCTGAAGACAACAACTGCTGTCGCCCCCGAGGGATGAACTGCTTTGATGACTGCTCGGTAAAACTGAAAGAAAAGGGAAAGTCCAAAACTGAAAACAGCAAAATTAGACCAATCTAAGTTTCTTTCTTGGCTCCTCTACCCTCAAACGGAAGTGTGAAACTAATATTTCCATCTCCTGAAAAACACCAATGATGACATTAAAAGTGTGCCAGGAAAGCCAAGAATCAGGTCCTCCTCAACCTACAAGAAGTCATGAAAACAATCACAATTTTGCTCAATTCAAATACTTAAGGAGATTGGACAGAACAATTGTCTAATCTCAGAAAACGGGAAATTTGATAATTAGACTTGTGGTATATTATAGTTTTAAATTTTTTGGCAAATTAGTTCCCTACCAAAGAATGTTCTCGTCACTAGATTTTAAGTTTAGTCACAAACTGACTTCACACTTTCAAAGTTTACTCAACACCAGAAATTAATTGAAACAAATTTCAAAAACTAGGAGTTTTCCTTATCTTAGGACTGAGGCATAATAAACCAAAATTAGACTGATCGGGTTGCGAACTAGTAATAATTATTACAAATAGCATCAGTAAACATGGAAGTAAGACTCTTGTAACTGAATTATTGAATAGAAAAGATGAGAGCCATCAAGTATGCAGCTGCACTTAAATTTATCCAGTTCAAACAATGACAGTGATTTGGCGTTGCTCTTGAATCCATTTGATTGCTGCTGATATTGGTGGAACACATTTCTGCATTCCTCAAAAACATTTTTTTTAGCATATTAACATATTCTGCTAAGTAAGATTATTCTGAAGTACTAACTGTCACTCGGTCACAGTTATGCATACGTATTTTTTAGATAGAAATTTAAAACCTTATGGACTTTCACTTAAGCAGAATTTTTTGGTTTGTTTTGCTGAGGAATTAAATCTAAAGGTATCTGAACAATTGCCTTGAGCGAAATACCTCTTCCCATGTTACAGAATTCATCGATAATTTCATTCAATCAATACCTGCAGGCCATTTAATTCTGATAGAGAATCTTTGTAAATATAAGGAATGAATAGAGATTTAAAAGAAATTAAGAGATTTTCCATCACTTGCATCTCACTCTGGGATGAAAACAAAATTTCAAGAGTTTTTTTTAAAAAACAAAATATTAAACCAAGTTTACAATCATCTGCTGCATGATTAGTAGCTAAAACCCTGCACACTTAATCTTACCTTATTATCTTCCCAGTAGAGGGCTAGGCATGGATCTCCTGGTCTCCAATCAGTAAATTGTGATTTACTTGACATTGTTGAAGAAGGATCAACAGTTTCATAAGATCGTTCCCACGTTTTTTCTCGTTTAATCAGTCCAGTTCTTTTCTTTGAATCTAATTCGTAAATTCCGTTATTGCTCTGAGAATATTCGGTAGATTTTGGCCGACTAGGTTCTGTGGATTTTATAGGTCCTGTTCTTTTTCTTGGAGGAGGATATTCTGCCTGTCCATTTGATATGTTGTGGTCATCAGGAATTTGTCGTTCACTAATATTTTCAATGTGAGAGCTAAAGTCCCTTTCTCTTCTCACAATTCCAGGGTTTCCACCACCCATCACTTGTGATAAATTCATACTTTTTCTTTCACTACAAATATTATAATTATGTGTCTGGTTTTCATACTTTCCTCTTAGTTGGCAACTGTTATCTGAATTATCTTTTAGACCCAGATTCCCTTTAAATTCTGTCAAACTCAGACTATCTCCCAATTTGTTAGTTGCAGTGCTCTCCACTTTACTCTTTCTAGATGGCTCATTATACGAGTAATGTGCTACTTGTTGCCCATGGTCTCCTGGTCTCTCATTACCAGTATAAGGTCTGCCACCTCTTCTCCCTTCCTCTAACCATGGGCTGAACCCCATTGAGTTCTGCCTCTCAGGGCCCTTACCCCTGAGTGGACAACTGTTCTCTTGAATTTTTTTGGCTAATAGATTCTCCCTTTGGAAGCGAGGCGGTCTGTCATGCTTTTGCTGTCTATCATTGCTCCAGTATGGATTCTTCTGATGAATGCCCTTAGCACCAGCACTTTTATCAGAACTTGACTGCTGTTGTGGGAGATGACTTTTTGATTCTGGGGAAATAAATACAAATATTACAGTCTAACATTGAAAGATAGCAGTGTTTCATAGTTTGGTCTTCCTGTTTTTGAAATGTAATTTATTTCAGCATTGTACAATGATGCAATGCCACCAAGGCTAATCACAAACCCCAAATTAAGCCAAGGCTTTTTGTCAGCCAATAAAAATAAATCCAAAATGCAATAAACCATGAAGGCCTGATGTAAATGAATGAACTCATAATAAAAATCACAGCACCCAAACAGCTAAATACATGCAGAAAGAGGCAATGTCAAATACATAAAGGAAGTTGAAAATGATCTTCCTTTGCGGAAGGGGGAAACTGGGGTCTCCTTGGATCCAAGGTGGCAACAGAGCGTCAGAATCAAATCAATCCTCTGTGGCAGTCTTGGTAGTTCTAGTTTTTGAACCAAACAGGTTTGCAGTACTCAAGGGTACAACTGATGACAGGTCAGCCAGGCTGCCTCATCTGCAGAACTTGGGAGGGGCAGACTGGTCATTGGGGCAGGATTTTGTCCACTCCCATTAACCCTGCAAGCCAAAGCCCTAAAGGGTCAAATGATCCAAGCTGAAAAAGCAACAGGAAACTTCCCAGCCAGTGCTTTCAATGGAAAACTATGCAGTTTAAGTGGTTGAACTTCAACAGTACACCAACACACATTCTGGGATTCCCAAGCCTTGGCACATGTCAGACACAGAAATTTCCACATGTAGGTGACGTACATATTTGGAACTCACTTGTGTGAATTGGATACTTTGAAGCTTGGTTCTGCGTTTCTGTATGTGTCAAGACACCCAGCTGACCAACAAAAAGCATAATAAAATAATCCACTCTTTCAAGACTCAAGATGGTACCTGCTATCCACCTAAAACTCAAAACGACTAACTATTAATTATCCTCCTGGAAGATGGCGGAAGGAAAGGGAAAGGCAAATTGTGGCTGAGCACACAAGGTGATATTTGGTAATGATATGTCAGAGTCAAGATAACCATCTATGAAACACCATGAAATGTTTCTTTACCAAGAAGATAATCAACAGCTGGATTGGGTTACCAGAAAGGCTGATAAAAGGCCAAAGCACTGGACTCATTGCCAATCATAAGGTAGGATACATATTATGGAATGGTAATATAAAATTGGGGGAAATAAGCCTTCTTCATATAAACCTCTTCTGCAAAACATCTATTTACATTACATTTATTGATGGTTCACTCTCCAACAAGCACGTTACTATCAAAATCTTCAATCTCCCAACCCACCCATGAGATATGTAATAATATGTATTGCATCAAAATGGAAATGACTTGAAACATTCTTTTTGCTCTGGTTCTTTTCCCTCCAATAAAACACAAAATGTACCTTCAACACTCAACGAGCTCATCTTTGATTCTAGAAAGTCAAACAATGTGCTGGGAGCCGATGGCCTGGCACTCGTTAAATCATCCTCTTCTTCTCCTCTTGATCTGCCTCTGCCTCTTCCCCTTCCTAATAAAGAAAACACCAAGAGAAAAAAATGTAGTTAAATAACCTAATAGTCTAAAAAATCATATTTCTGAAGCATAGGTGTACTCATGAGCAATCCACTAATTCTAAACGCTCCAAGATGCAACAACAACAACAACAAGATTGCATTTATAGAGCTCCTTTCATGTCGGGAGGACGTCCCAAGTTGGGTCGGGACCCGAGCAGGGGGGAAATGGTCAGGGTGAGGGGAGGTAAGGGAGGGAGCGAGCGAGGAGGGGAGGGAAGGGAGGGAGTGAGGAGGGGGTAGAGAGTTGAGAGGGGAGCTGAAGGCACGGTTGAAGAGAAAGGTCTTGAGACCGGCCTGAAGGAGGAAAGGGAGGAAGCAAGGCGAAGGCACTGGGGGATGGAGTTCCAGAGCCTAGGGGCTGAGAGGTTGAAGGCCCGGCCACCGATGGTAGGGCGGTTGGGGCAGGGGATGTGGAGCAGACCGGAGCCAGAGGAACGGAGGGTACGGGCAGGTAGGTAGGGGGATAGTAGGTTGGAGAGGTAGGAGGGTGCAAGGCCGTGAAGGGCCTTGTAGGTGAGGATGAGGATCTTGAATTCGATCCTCTGGGGGATGGGGAGCCAGTGGAGCCGAGCGAGGGTGGGAGTGATGTGGTCCCGAAGCCTGGTGCGGGACAGTACACGAGCTGCAGAGTTCTGAATGACCTGTAGCTTGTGGAGGGAGGTGCCGGGAAGGCCGACGAGAAGAGAGTTCCCGTAGTCCAGCCTTGAGGTGATAAAGGCGTGGACCAGTGTTTCAGCAGCGTGAGGGGTGAGGTAGTGCCGTAGTCTGGCGATGTTCCGGAGGTGGTGGAAGGCAGTGCCAGCTGTGGCGCGGATGTGGGGAAGAAAGGACAGCTCAGGGTCGAACAGAACACCGAGGTTCCTGACTGGCCTTGAGAGGTGGAGAGTGCAACATTGGATGCTGATGCTGTCAGCGCCTGAGGTGCGGAGGTGCTGACGCGAACCAATCAGTTTTGCGCACATTAAGCTGAAGAAAGTTGTCTCTCGTCCAGGACTCGATGTCAGACATCATATATGATCACATCGCAACCCCATGCGATGTGATTATATAAATGCAAGTTGTTGTTGATCCAAACATCAGTCACTATACGATACACTAAACATGGTAAAAATTCTATGAAGCACTTCACAACATCTCAACGACATGATAAGACCCTATACAAAATGTAAGCATGATGACAACATTGCTAGAATAAAGTAGTTTATTTTATTGTAATAAAATGGAATACCCCAAAAGTTTCTGATGATGTGCTTAAAGAACTTAAATTGGTAGTACCAATGGTTAGAAATCCAAATGTTATCACTGATAGTGAGTATTTCTGTAATTTTGCAGCCTCCAAAAGTCAGGAAGCAAGATATAAACTCCCTGCAAGACACATTATTAAAACATTGGATTGATGTGGTACTATCAGGTTATAATTTCTATATGTTATCCACATGAATTAGACAAAATCTTCTGCTCACATGAAAGCCCCTTTATATAAAGACAAGGAGTTGACATACACTCCATGCCCCATTCTGACAAGTTGTTCATTTTGGAGCAAGGTGTCCGGCTGTATAAATGCACAATGAATGAGATCCACAGAGAAACCATCTTATAACTGAATTTACACTGTAAAGAAGGAGGTTATTAAATGTCTGTGCTTCACTTTTTTACCATTATTTATACAAAAGATATGAATGCTCAGCATAACCTGTACTCAATCAAGTAATCACAAAAGCTCAAGAATAATTTAAATTCAGGTCCAATCAATGTATCTAGTCTTATGCAAATACTTTAACAGGTTGAGCTGGTTAGGGGAGTTAGCATAATTCATGAAGTTAATACCAGTACAGTTTGAAAATGAAATGTGAAACACTCATTTTGTAAAATGCTTCATAAGACCAACGTCTCCCATTGATATTTCATGGAAGAGGGTAATTTTTAAAAAACATAAATTGGCAAAACTGTCTAGACTTTACCTCTTGAAGGTGGATTATAGGTAGTTGGTTGTGGTTTAGTGCTATTGAGAAGAAAATTTAATGCATTTTCAAGATTGTTGCTATGATCCATTAGTGCCTCTCTTGCTTCTTCCTTGCTGAATCCCATCTCAATTATATTTTGTAAAGCTCTCTCATCAACCTATAAATGAAGAGAAGTCCTCATTAAAGAAAACAATTTTTCACTCTCCACTTCCATTCAATATCAAACAATATTTAATTGCAGGACACAATATGATCGGTGACGCAGTTTCTTAAACACTGAACCATTTATTAATAATAATCCCTTCATTTAATAAAAATTAAACAAAATATCCTTCAAGTTTTGGAAATGCAGAGGGGGCAAGGGTTATGTAGAAAGTCCACGTTCGTAAAGCAAAGGAAGTAAAACGAGCTGGAGGAGATTGCAATGAGAGTGGTGCAAAGTTATTGGGAGATTTGAAGATCACAACAAGAATCTTGAGAGCAATCTGTTGGGCAATTGGAGACAGGCAATGATAAGAGAGATGGGCAGGCGAACATGGTGTGGGAAAGAATACAGGCTGCAAAGTCACGGATGAGCTGGAACTTGTCAAAAATGGAGCTAAGGAGCTCAAGTGAAAATGGGGGTTGATCAGCAGAGTTTGAGATGGGAAAGGAGGTGAAGACTCAATATAGGCTTTAAAGAAGAGCTAATGGTCATAAGCGGGTGAACTAAAGTGAACAACTAGAGTGGTTGATGAGATCTTAACTGAGGCAAGCAGATGCTGGCAAAAACCTAGAGAAAAGCTTCCAATTTGTGGATATCTCTCCCAAGGACTTTCAGTAAACAACTTGCTTTATATTATTAGTCAGATTAAAACATTTATGGCGAAGATTTGCAAAGAATTTACAAAACAGAAACAAGCCACTCGGTCCACCCAGTCCGTGCCAGTATTTATACTGTACACAAGTCTTCACTCATTCCTTACTCCCTCCCTCCCTACCCTTCTATTCCCCTTTTTCTTGATTGTCCAACTTCCCCTGAATACATCGACACGATCTGATTCAACCACCTCTTCAGGGAACAAGTTCAACAATCTTACTGCCCTCTGCGAGAAAGCAGTTCTTCCTAAATTCTCTCTTAGATTCACCAATCACTATCTTATATTTGTGTCCTTTGGCTATGGACTCCCCAACCAGTGGAAACGGCCTATTTATGTTAAGCTTATCAAACACTTTTAGATATTAAACATTTCTATTAGGTCTCCCTTAAACGTCTCTTCTCTAGCGAAAAAAGGCCCAACTTTGAAAGTCAGTGCTGAGGAACAGCAAACAAACAAGCCCATAACAAACATGACTCAATGGCAAATATAACAACCATATTATTTAAACAAAATCATGAGGCAAATTTGAAGTATGAGCAGCGTTTTTTCCACCTGAACATTTATTTCCCTTATTTGACATTTGACAATTCTCTGCACTTTAGCAAATATGGTTTGAAATAGTATCTTACACTTCACAAGTCCTAACTGTAATAGCTATGCTAACCAGTGAGTGTCCTCAAGGTTCCAAGTAGAAACAAAGTCTGCAAAAGGCCACTAATTTTAGTATTTACTGAATTCCAGACAAAAATATCTGCATCCAAATCCTTGTTTTAGTGGTAGTTAAAATAGCAGCATCAGTTTCAAAGAATCATACAAATAATTCACAAGTACCACTTTAAATATATATTTTATAATGCGCCTTCATTGTAGGGCCACACATTTACATAAACACATTTCCATTAACGTTCAATTACAAAACATGGGAATAGGAGGACATGCGTTAAGAGTTGTAAACGGCTATTTCAGGACAGAGGATAATCAGACAGAAAAGGTAGTAGAGGCCAGGACACGACTCATTTAAAATACAGCTTAATGCTGTGACGGGAGGACGGTAGGGTGAGTGTTCTAGAGAGATGAGATGGGCCGAAAGGCCGTGTACATCCAAACCAAACTTGTGAATTACACTCTTCTAACTTTGTGTGCAACAGGGCCACAAGTAAGGGTGACTACATCTGGCCTTAGTTATTACAGTAATTATATTTTACAGTTTCTTTGATGTCTAAATACTGAACAAATGGAACAAGTCACACCGTGATGCTTGCATTCATGATTAATGATAAGAGTATCAGAACAAGTTAAATGCATGATAATTTAGCTGTTCAGGTTAAAATTCTTGCCAAATTTGAAATTGCTTCCCTAGAAAAATGTAGCTAATCAATGCATGAACAAAGATTCTTCCATAAATGAACTGGAACAGATAGTTGATTATATCAAGTTCTCACTGAATTGACTGGCATTTCATGGAGCACACCTTCCTCAGAGAAATTGTTCCTCGATAATCAGTCATTTTCAGATGCTATTGCATTCTGGAGAAGTCAAACAGCTCGAACAATACTTTCATAAAGTTAGAGACAGTGAGCTTAGTTGGTCCTAATGTTTTCACCATGCATCTTCCTTCCCCAACTAACCACTGATTCATGTACCATCCCTTGCCCATAATCTACAATTTGTATTTATATTGCATCTTTCATGTAAAAATAGTCTCAAATGACCTTATGCAAAATCTAAAGACAACTACAATCTCAGGCATCAGCGTGGAAAGGGTGATATAGATATCCCATAATCAATACAATAATAACCCTTGCAAGTACTACAGCATCTTATCACACTGAAATGTCTCAAAGAGTTTCAGAAAGTTTTTCTGTAAAATGTTATGACTACGAATGTGGTGGCAAACGTGGCAGCACAAGGCAATGTCCCACAAACAGCCAAGAGTCCTTGACTGTTTGTGGAAACATGTAGCTCAGTGGTTAGAGCACTCGCCTCACAAGCAAGAAACCTGGGTTCGATTTCCGGGCAGAGCGAAACGTTAAGCAAGTTTCCTTACACCATACGCCTCTGTTACCAAGCAGTAAGTAGGAACCCGGGTGTTAGTTAATTGGCGGATCGCTTTTCCGGTGTAATAATTCCTTAAAAAAAAAAATAACTTGGTCACTCAATCCCCGACTATTTGTGGGACAACTGCTGTGCGCAATTGGCTGCCACGCTTCGCACACAAATTAATTGACTTTACAATACATTCTGTGAATCGCTTTGAGACGTCCCGAAGACGTGATAAAGCGCTATATCAAATGCAAGGATTATTGTTATTATTTATTACATTCAATCGCACTCCTCTGACATTCCCTGAAAGTGGTTTTGGAATCATTGTAAACACTGGGAGATACAGAACACGAGAAGGAAAAACATTATCTTAAAGAGTCACCAATAAACTCACAGGCAGATGCTCTTACAGTACATCCTGATCTTGCCCATCCAATGAAATAAAGTTAAAAAGAAGAAAAGAATCATGAATAGTTTCTTACAATAGATTCATTATAAAAATCAGAAACTAGTAGGAGGGAGAAGAGGAAGGACTCAAGATACAATCTGAAAACTTACCAATTCTCGATATACTCCATCAGGTTTTCCATCTCCCCTGGTATATTTTTCCTCTCGGGTCTTTTGGAAGACCTCCCTACTTCTGTTACTTGCATTAATTGGATTTAGATTGCTTCGAGCACTGCTGCCTCCTCCAAATGTTTTTGCCTTTTGAAAAAAAATAGAAACCGATACAGTTAATTCTCTGAATCAATAATTTTGACTATTATTTGAATGCAGATAGATACTTTTCAGAAACCAAAAGAGTGCATTTAAAAAAAAAGATATATTTTCTTAAGTGCTATCTGGCCTACAGCAGTTAAAATCAATGCACTGCATACCATAAATTAAGCAAGCTTCCACTGGCAGTAAGATACAATGGGAGGCATGGAGGGTACTATACAAATTCATGGTGGTGGTGTTGTCATCTCAGGTATTTATCCTGCAAGTTTTTTTTAAAAAAGCCAATTCCCAGACAATTTATGATTTTTAAGACAAACGAAGAACATATTATTTGTTTCTACCAATTTTAAAGATTGAATGATATCTACTTATCTATTCCATAATAAAAACTATTCACAATTTAGAGCAGTTTCCCTACTCAGTGCTCTCCAATAAATTTGTGAAACACTTTGAGATTTTAATTCCATGTGTAAGCCACTACAATTGCAAGCTGTTTTGTAAGGCTCTTTCATCCCCTTTCTTTTTCTGAATACACTTTACAATGCATTAATAATAAGCTTTTGAATAAAAGCCAGAAGATATACAAAATATTCTAAACATACTTTCAATTCCCAATGAAAATATTAACATATTCAATAACTGTTAACAGTAACAACCTTCATCTAGATACTGTCCTTCATGCAACGACAGGTAGTGTCTGAACCATGGTGGACTTTGACGCCAAGCCGGGAGAAAGGGAAGGGAACCGCAGGCACAGTCAAAGGGGAAGTCTTCAGGTGAAATTTGAAGACAGGAAAAGAGACGACAAGGTGGAGAAATTGAGGCAGGAAGTGCGGTAGGTTTAGGATGTCATGACAGAGGGCAAGGTCTCTGATACTGGATGGTTAATTAACACTGCACTTTACCTCCTTATTCTTGGATATCTCTGCAATAGCTGCAGTCCTTTGCTTCTCAAATTCATCATCACCTGAGGTTTTATTTGCGCCAACAACTTGTAATGTTTTCCTCTTATCAAGGTCTCGTCCATCAACTTGATCACGAACAGATTTCTGAAAAATATTACAGCATACTTACAAAAAGATACTAGGTAAAATTTGGATACAAAATATTCACAATTTTTTGCGATCAAACTTGAAGCAGAATTCCATCTTCATTTAATCTCCACAAAGAACAACAACAAGATTTCATTTATAGAGGGCCTTTCACGTCGGGAGGACGTCCCAAGGTACTGGACAGTTGGGTCGGGACTCGAGCAGGGGGGAAATGGTGAGGGGAGGGAAGGGAGGGAGCGAGGAGGGGGTAGAGAGTCGAGAGGGGAGCTGAAGGCACAGTCAAAGAGAAAGGTCTTGAGACCGGCCTTGAAGGAGGAAAGGGAGGAGGCGGCGAAGGCACTGAGGGACAGAGTTCCAAAGCCTAGGGGCTGAGAGGCTGAAGGCCCGGCCACCAATGGTAGGGCGGTTAGGACGGGGGATGTGGAGCAGACTGGAACAAGAACGGAGGGTACGGGCAGGTAAGTAAGGGGATAGCAGGTCGGAGAGGTAGGAGGGTGCAAGGCCGTGATCTGGAAAAGGAAGGGAGGTGACCGAAGGCACAGTCGAAGAGGAAAGTCTTCAGGTGTGATTTGAAGACAGACAAAGAGGTCGCAAGACATAGAGATTGTGGCAAAGAGTTCCAGAGATTCAGGAAACCGTGGCAGACAGTGGAGTGGGGTGTGAACAGAATGGTAGGGAAGTGCCAGGGCCTGAAGATTGTACTTTATGTATGTATAATTGTTCAACTGTTATTGATGAAACTTGCATTTCATTGAAGAATATCTTTCAGTGAAAGATTGAATTTGTTTCATCTTTACTTTTATTGCAAATAAAATTCCTTTCTCAAAATTCAATCTGGTCAGGTACTATATAGTTAAGTTCACACTACATAACTTTCGTCCAGAGCTCATGAAGGTGGGTAGTCTAGCAAAGTAAGTGTCTATTATCAGAGGTGATAATGTTTGAAAAGGCAGCACAAAACATTTCTGCTGAAAAGTACTAATTCAATAACCTTACTGCTCAGCAAAAAATAATCAAATCCTTAATAGCAGCTCATCTGTGTATGTGGTGGTAGGGGCATCGATAGTAATTTTGTCTATTATTAAGACATATCCAGATTTTCTAAGAAGACCTGAGTGAAAATAACCAAGTTGAAATACTAGGGAGGTCATGCTTATATACACAAGGATGTTATTATAGGAGAGCCTGTAATATGGTGGACAAATACCACATCTAAAAATATATCCTCCTAAGGTAAAGAAAGTAGGGAAGCTAAGATCTCACTGGGTTGAATTGGCCCTGAATAATAGATCCAGAGTAATCCAAAACATTGTTGATGGCTAATGAGATACAGATATAGCCATGTCCTCACACCTGAAAATTTACAGGTGTTTTATGATACCCTAATTGGAAAACCCTGAATTGGTATTGGAAAATCTCAAATTGTTAACATATATTTAATTAAGTTTGATGACTCACAGCAATAACTATCATATATTTGAATGCCCCTCGACAATGCAAAGTTCTGAAGAAGCTTAACATTAACATAATTGTGTAAAGCTGAAGTCAAAATGCAAACACTGCTTTGGTTTAGTTTCAAAGCAGGTTTTCATCCATTCTATTTTATGGTCTATTAACATTAAAATTTGCTTAATTCACTTATAAAAATAGAACAAAATTCTCCTTAAATTCTTATTTTGAACTCATTTACTGGAAGCAAAATCATGCTACAGACCAAATGTCATCTGTCTCGTATTTATGATATTTGTCAGTGAAGCATAATTGCTTACATACCTGCCCAAAAGGCACAAATGGGGGTGGTCCACCTTCTGTTCCAATATTACTTCGATTATACTTTGCCAAACTCTGAAAAGACAAAAGCTTCTTTTAGGTATCTTTTTAAAAAGATACTTGCTATTATTATTCAATGAATTAGAATTTTTTTTAATTTCTTACATTAAGTTGAAGGAACCCAGTCCCTATTATTATAAATTGAGGTAAACAAATTTCCTCACAAAGACACAAGCAAACATACACACGAGTTAGTCACCACAAGATGGCTGGTGTCATTTGTAACATTTAGCCCTGAAGCAAGTCTTTCCCTTGCCTAAGTTCCCAGCATCTCACTGTTACTTTACCCACCAGACTTGTTGAATATCCCAAATGATTTTACACTGCAAGGTGATACCAATTACTACAATAAACTCCTGATAAGTCGTTGCTGGGGCGGAGGGGAGGAGGGAGGGCATTATCCAGAGTGGTGAGTTAGACGCAGGTACTCCTGGCCTACAAGGGATCGCTGTGATTCCTGCAGCCGTTCAGCATTGTGACAAGTGAAGCCAGGGTCTTCTTATCAGGAGTTTACTGCTTAGGATGAAGGCTAAATAATATTGGCTCAAACAATTTGTACAGATGGTGCTACTTTCATTTTTGTGCTTCTTTAATTTTTAATCTTGCTCAACAGAAAACCTCCAAGTCTATATAAACAAAATATTGAATTAAAAAATTCTAGCATGTTACCTCACCCTTTGCAACTCCCACTTCTCTATTAAGTGATCCACTTCACCACCAAGGACGACAATATTGGCATCCAGCAACAGCAGAAATCCATTTCTGATTTTAACAGTCCCAACGCATTTGATTTTTGTGCCAGGTGGGGTATTGAGGCTATGAAGGAGAAAATACGGATTAGGACCATTTGCAAACCATAGAAATCATGTTCTCCTTAATTGGCTTAATCATTACAATTAAAGCTTTCACAAATGCATTGTAATTTGTTGGAGAAAAATGCATAGCACAATTGGGAGTAATGAAGTTTGTCAAGACACAAAGTTAGTGAGTCGGTAAAGTATTGAAGATTGAAGATGTGGTAACTATGCTCCCGACATTACGACTGAGGAGAGAAGAAACCAAGGCATAAAACTAAGCCCAGGACACACCACCAGAGGGATTAAGAAATTGTACAGTATAAATTAGTTTTGAAGTATCAATGGAAGTCAACATAAGCCAATGTATTCTAACAAAGTCCATAAATGGGGTCTATTTTAATACCCATAAGGCTGGGGTCCATCACAGTTTTAGAGAGGAAAGAAGATAAATTAAATAATGGTAAGGTGATACCAAGTTTCTGTTTTAAAAACTTACAGACTGTTGGAGAAAAAGAGGAAAGGAGTACCACAACAAGTATCGTAAGCTTCTGGAAAAAAATCTTAAATGGAAGAGCAAGTAAGGTGGAGGAAGTCAAGGAGAAAAAAAATATGCAAAACATTAGCCAGCATTACTCAGAGCTATCCAAAAACCCTTCTGAAGAGTGCTCATTGGTAAATATCACGTAAGGACCGATTGAACTCAACTGTGATACTCATTGTTTCAGGAATTTACCAACATTCTCCTTCCAAGCTTACACGTGGAAAAATGGCCACTTAGGCCAGGCAATGCAAATGGTAATAATACCGACGACCATGACAATCTAGAATAGCATGGGAATAAAATGGAGGAACACAAAATGCATTCCTTTTTCTATTCCACCCACCATCATACACATTTACGGCTAGCCTGCTCAAATCCCCCAAAAAACATACCCGATTTTAGAAAGTTGGCTAAACTCTACTCCTATGCAGTTCACATTCCCATCTGTAAATTGTACACGCAACATCCGTGGTGCAGCTTGAGAATCTTCATTATCTTTTGGAGCAGATATATTCCTTATCTTCTGGATTTGTAAGACACATGGACCTTCAAGCTTGAAACAGAAATATTAATGAACTCTTTACACATCATTTGATACAAAAAAAATTAAATGTGTTTGCTACATGCTTCTTGAACCAAATTCTAACAGAAACAAATCCAGACAGTGAGCAAGATCCCGAGGTGCAAATACAAAGCAAGAACCGCCCAGTTTTAATGTCTTATTTATTGTCCTCCTGATGTGAAATGCGGTATACAAATGTAAATTGTTGTTGTTGTTGAGTTACTTCAAAATATTGTAGGACATTGCAGCAGTAGAATCGTTACAATTGTCTTCATTCCCCAGGAAAGGAGATAATCTGTAGGACCCTCCATTGCTACATAGTAGACTCCATTGAAAGTTGGTTTACCATCAATACTTTTGTCCAGGGCACAAATTTGTGACCATTTGGGCAAAATACTATACACCAACATATTAACTTCGGGAGAGATGGGGAAAACATTTTTTTTAAAAAAAGAACAGATCAGAATTAAACTGAAGCTGTATTTGGATTTTTTTTCTGAAATAGGTTTGTGGCTACGGATGCTTAGGATTCCAACAATATCAGCAAACCACCTCCACAAAGAACACTTCATGATAGATGGCTAGTTCTAGGCAACCCTCTGGTTCAAGCAAATAGATCAAAATCCCTCATTCACATGACAGTATTTTATTTACATGTGAAGAACTCAATGCACCAGGACTAAGAACTCCCCCCTCCACTGCAACTATGTATTATCAAGGTTAAAATAAACACAATTAAGATAGTATCGCTTCTAAATCTGAAATGTACGTGTGATAAGGGTGTGTAGCAGCAACACTAATATTATTTTGAAACACCCGACAAGTGATACATACATATATCATGGAACAAATTAATATTCGCTAGTTTAAATTCCATTCTATCAGGAGGAGGGGCTGTTTAGTTAAATAGACATTTCTCCCCACTCACAGCTATTTTTTTCTGGTCAATCCCTGCTCGGAGGTGGGCAGAATGAAAACATTTTGCTGCAAGACTCCAACATTTGAACATTCGTAAAAGTTCTCATAATTCAACAAAAGCATCGAAACCCACTAACAGCATTCCTGCAAAACCTAGTTTCTGCCATTAAATTACTTTAGTGAACTATGTCAACATCAGAGCAGCCTCTAGTGACACAAATTTGTAATCCAGCATTACAATTTATTTCTGCCTGTTCGTTCTGCTTTATGAATAAAAAATGAACAGCAGAAATGTGGGCAAACCATGCTCAGCTCAAAGCCAACACTGTGTTCAATCAAATGATGTTTGTGTGTAGGAAATTATAATTCAGCATATTTTTCAAATTTGGGATATAAACGAGAATGCAGTAAAACTTCATTACATGTCAAAAGGAAATGGAATTAGTGCATTGATTTCACTGGAGCAGCAATCCAGTTGGCTAATAAAACTGCTAACACTGTGTAACAATATCATTCCAGAACACTGCAGAGGGTAACGAGTGTACAACAACAACAACAAGGTGGCCTTAAGCACGGTCGAAGGTTTTCAGGCTGAGTTACAATCCTGCTTAAAATAGTTCAGCAGAATTGTAACCCAGAATAAGGGTATCACTCTCAGTAACTCTACGTAATGGCATTTGGAAATAGAGCATCACTGGGCTCGTGGCAGGGACAGAAATCATGGAGTGTGGGAAAAGGTGTAGAAAAAGAGTTTTGGGATGAATGAAAATATACAAGGAAAAAATTGTTCAAAAACCAAAGAAATTTCCTCACATAACTTCAAGCTGTCGTTACTCTGGGCCAATAGAAAAGTGCGGCTGCACATTTTCCACGGAATTCGAGACAAGCACTCTGCAAACACTCCCCTCCGATACAAACTTGTACACACAGTGTGCCGGGGGCCCCGGCCTCTGCGCGCTGTTTGTTTGACACCGCTACTGTGGACGGAGCGGCTCGGGTCGTGCATGCGTGGCGCAGGGAGTGTTGGGATTACGGAAGAAACTTCTCCATTGCCCACCCCCCCAACTGATAGCAAGACAAAATAGGAACTTTGGATGAATCATCATCACTGAGCCACTCATCTTGCACCATAGTTTTCCTTCAAAATATATCCAAAAGTGGAGTTCTGAGACTTTTGTTTGTAAACAATTTGAACAGACCACAGAAACATATTTAGATGGACCACTTACCTTCTCCACTCGTCCACTATTGATGTCATTTGGAAGAAATTTCTTACCAATTGTTCTTAAATCAGTCTGTGGGAAAATATTTAAGCAAAAAGATCAGGATATAAATATTTCTGACAAATGTACACCACTACAATTTACTTCTCAACATTTTATTGTGCACACAAGAATTAACTTAACTTCTTTGCATGGAATTAGAATCATAGATTCGTACAGCACAAAAAGAGGCCATTCGGCCCATCAAGTCTGTGCCGGCTCTTTGAAAAGAACAATGTACTGTATAATTTTTTGTTAATTGTTAATGTTAATTATTTGATGATTCTACAAATTATTGTACCGCACAGGGGATTCTGGTTTTACCACCAACCATAAGGTTCTTTGTTGCTAATCATTCAGAAAGACCCAAAAATAAAAATAATAGATCTACTCATGATCTTGAAGTGTGTGGATCAGTTAAATTGGTAGCACCCAAACCTCTGAGTCAGAAGAATGTGGGTTAAGCCTCACATTAAAACTTGAAACTCAAAGTCTAAGCTGAAACCAACACAGTCTTGGGCATGTGCTGCTTTGTTTTAGGTGCCGTTCTTAGGATGAGACGTAAAATCGAGGACCCATCTGCCTGTTCAGATGGACGTTAAAGATGTCATGGCATTATTTGAAAAGAAAGGGAGTTTCTTCCAGTGTCCTGGACAACAATCCCTCAAATAAAATAGGTCACTCATTCCATACCTATCTGTGGGACAGCACTATGGCAAATTGGGTTCCACATTCATGCAGAGAAAAATAAGTCAAACTTTACAGTATACTTCCTGTGTAGCACTTTGAGAAGACCTGGCATGAAAGGCACTATACCAAATGTAAGGATTATTACTACAAATATATTTTAAACCTCATACCGGTCTGCCATTCTTGTGCTTAGGTAACATGCTCATAATGGGCGATTTCAACTTCCACCTAAACTCCCCTTGCACCACGTCTGCCGACTTCACTCCTCTCCTCCCTAAACCTCACCCTTCATATAAATTCACCCGCCCACAACCGTGGTCATGCCCTTGACCTCGTCATCACCCACGGCCTTGACATTTCCAACCTCAGCATAGTGGACAAGGCCATCTCGGACCACTTCCTCATCTCCTTCTCCTCTCACATCCCTCTCTCCTCCACCAAGCACTCAACCATTCTCTACCGCCCTTGAAAAAGGCTACCCCCCTGAGACCCTCACAAAGGTCCTCTCATCATCAAACATCCTATCCCTCTGGCCTTCCACCCACGGAGCCATCCAGCTGCTCCATGATCGCCTCTCCTCCACCTTCAACTCCCTCTTCCCCCTAAAATCCAGGGCCATCTCCAAACCCACCCGATCCCCCTGGTACAACAACCACCTCCACCACCAAAAAATCCAAACCCGTCTGCTTGAGCGCAGATGGCAGAAAACTGGCCTGACAGTTCACCACCAACTGTGGCTCGAGCATCTCCACAGCTACCATCGTTCTTTTGACACTCGCAAAAACGGCCTTCCACTCCAACATCATCTTGGAGGCTAAACACAACCCTAAAATCCTTTATTCCCCACCACCCACTGCCTCCTCTGTGCACCCCCTCAGGCCTCCTCAATCTTCGTATCAAATGCCAAGTGCAAGGAGGTCATAGACTTCTTTTCATCTAAATTACGTAACATCAGCCAGGCAGCCTCATCCACCTGCCCCTTGTCACCCACCACCACGCCTTCTCTGTCCCCCTCAGCTGCTCCTACCACCACCCCCATTCTACATTCCTTCCTCCCCATCTCTCTCCTCCCTCTCACCCACCATCACCCCCATGAAACCCACCACCTGCTGCCTCGACACCCTCCCTACCAATTTACTGGTCACCCAGCTCCCCCTCCTCTGCCCACTGAAAGTCATAAACAACATTCTCTCTATCTGTGACCAGGGCTCCCTCTGCCTCCTTGTCCTCTCCGCCGCGTTCAACGCAGTTGACCACACCATTCTCCTCCACCGCCTTTCCTCCGTCATCCACCTCAGTGGGACCCCACTCTCCTGGTTCGAGTCCTACCTCACAAACTGCCAGAAGTACATCTGCACAAACAGCTTCTCCTCCCACTCTCACCAGGTCACCTGTGGGGTACCCCAAGGATCCATCCTTGGCCCCTTGTCTTTCTGATCTATATGTTCCCTCTTGGGGATGTCATCCGCAGACATAGTTTACACTTCCACATGTATGCAGACGACACCCAACTCTATTTTACCATCTCTCTTTGCGACCCCCAGTCCCCTGATGTTCTGTCAGGCTGCCTGTCAGATCTCAGGGGCTGGATGAGCGCAAATTTCCTTCAGCTGAACGATGACAAGACGGAAGCCCTACTCTTTGGCTCTCGTCAACGTCTAAAATCTCACGCCTCTCACCTGCTCCACCTACCCGACCGCCCCCTAAAACTCTCCGAACCCGTACGCAACCTAGGCGTCAGGTTCGACCCCCAATTATCCTTCCTCCCCCACATCCGGTCCCTCACCAGCACCGTTTCGTTCACCTCTGACGCATCGCCCGTCTCTGCCAATACCTCTCCCCAAAAGCCGCTGAAACCCTGGTCCATGCCTTTGTCACCTCTCGGCTGGACTACTCTAACGCCCTCCTCGCCGGCCTCCCATCCACTACCATCCATAAAATCCAAATCATTCAAAACTCTGCCGTTCACATTCTCAGCATTCTCACCCTCACCAAACTCCACTCCCTGATCACCCCAGTCCTTGCCAGACTGCACTGGCTGCCTGTCCCAGAAAGGATCGACTTCAAGTCCCTGCACTCCTCTGCACTCTCCTACCTCTCTGACTTCCTCTCTCCTCAAAACAGTACCTGTTACCTTCGTTCCTCCGGGTCTGGCCTCCTCCTCATCCCCCGAGTCCTCCACTCCACCCTCAGCGGCCGTGGCTTCAGTCACTATGCCCCGAGGCTCTGGAACTCCCTTCCTCACTCCCTTCGCCTCGCTCTCTCCCTTCTTATTTTCAGGTCTCTGCTGAAGACCTTTCTTTTCGACTGCGCCTTTGGTCACCTTCCTCCCCCTCCCCGTGGCTCGGTCCCGGGATCCGTTACTGTGAAGCGCTCTGAGACGCCGTCCGGCGTGGAGGGCACTATATAAATCCAAGTTGTTGTTGTTACGAAAGGAATAACTACCTACGTATGTTGTACAGAACTCCAGATGCTATTGGAAGGAGTAATATGGGCTCGGGCTTCAATAATATACTACAAAGTAGAAAGGCCTGGTATTTTTTCCTTCAAAAAACAATTTACATTTATATAGCCCCTCAGGTAGGGTAGCATCCCAGAGCGCTTGACCAGCATCAACAATTTCCAGGCAAGCAGCTTAGGTTACAGATAAGCTGAAACTCAAAAATAATATGCATGACAATTCAGAGTAAAACCAAGTTCTGGACCACCAGCACTATTGGTTGCTTACACTACATTCCTATGCTTTCTCCATAAATCTGTATTCTCTAATTAGTAATGCAAGTATCAATTATAAGATTATTTAAAATCTCTGCTATTATTCCGAGTGAAAAACTGTCACAGATAACAACAACATTCTGATATGAAAGCATGGGACGAGCAACCAAAGTATTCAGGATTGAACTTTGAAATTAACGTAATGCCCTGATGTTTATTTCGTAATATGGTACTAATTTCCTATTTGAATGCAAAGTTGAACCAATGAGGTGGACCAAATTTGATTCACTTCATCTAGGGAAAAAAATCCCAGTGGACCTGGCAGTATCATGTGCTTTTTTATTTGAAGCTTTGTTGTCCTGTTTAATCTCCGCACTTGTTGTCACTTCCCATAACTCTTGCTGTTGACAACCAGGTGGAACCCAATGATGTGCAATGAATGAAAATGGGAAGCACAATACAACCTGACAACCAAAGTATAAAATCTACTAAGTCATGCCAAGTATAAACAAATATTATATTACCTGCTAAAAATACTTCTAAAATATTACATTATTTTGCCTGCAAATATATTCTCTTCATCTACTCAAGGCTGAGACTGATAGATTTTTAAAAAACAGAGGGGATATGGGGATAGGGCAGGTAATTAGAGTTAGGTCTAAAAATCAGCCACGATCTTATCGAATGGCGGGGCAGGCTCGAGGGGCCGAATGGCCTACTCCTGCCCCTAATTCTTATGTTCTTTTGTACTACAACAACAACAAGATTACATTTGTATAACGCCTTTCACGTCGGGAGGACGTCCCAAGGCGCTGGACAGAGAACAGCATTTCAGAACCGAGCTGGGGTTGGGGGGGTAAGGTAAGGGAGGTGGCTGATGGCATGGTCGAAGAGGAGGGTCTTGAGGAGGCTAAGGAGGGGGCGAGGCGGAGTGATTGGGGGATGGAATTCCAGAGGTTAGAGGCAGAGTGGCTGAAGGCTCTCCCGCCAATGGTGGGGTGGGTAGGTCGGGGGACGTGGAGCAGGCCAGAGCCGGCTGAGCGGAGGGAACGGGCGGGTTAGTAGGGGGTTAGGAGGTTGCAGATGTAGGGTGGGGCGAGGCCGTGGAGGGCTTTGTATGTGAGGACCAGGAACTGGATCCTCTGAAGTATAGGGAGCCAGTGGAGTCGGGCGAGAGTGGGGGAGATGGCGTCACGGAGTTTGGTGCGGGAGAGGACACGGGCTGCAGAGTTCTGGATTATCTGCAGCTGTGGAGGGAGGAGTTGGGAAGGCTGACAAGCAGGGTGATTGCATAGCCTGGAGGTGAACAAGAGTTTCAGTTACTATTAATAATGTCTGGTAAAATCGGACTTCAGAATCAGATGGTCAGCTGAATGAGAACAAATGACAAAAAATGGATCTTCATTAATACTACTTCAGAATTAGTAATGTTATAAAATAATTGTAAGAATCCTAAGTTTAAGTAATAGGTTACAGAAAATATACTTGCTCAAATACTTCTCTGAAAATAAATTGAATGTCACATTGTATGTGCCCATAAACTCTCAGACTTGCCACTTGACACAAGTTATACCTATGACAGTGACATCATGTGGCTAAAGTTGTTCACAGCATGACTTGCAGGAGTTGTTAAAATAAACAGACATTGGAATATAATGAAGTGGTGAACAACCATCACTCTTTTAGTGAACAGAACAAATCAAACTTACATTTAGTGCGATGCGGATGATATCCTTTACATCACTCTTGCTGGAAGAACTGGAGCAGGATTCAATTCCTTCTTGGGAAAGACACCTAGCAGAGGGAAAACATATACTTGGAATCAGAGATAGATTTAGTGACAAAACCATACATCATAAATGGCATGAATGAAGAAAGGTCCTTTGGCATTTGATCTCATTCTTCCAAAATACCAACATCGCCCATGAAGCGTCTTTCTGAATTCAGTCTTGTGTCTTGGCTTCAACAACACCCCTTGCTGGCAACTCATTTCACCTGTTAATCATCCCGCTCATAAAAAAAATAACACTTTATCAGTCCCAAGATTGCCTTTCATAGCTCTGAACCAGTGAGTCTTTTATTGCCTTAATGAAACTGAAAACATTGTTCTGAGTTTACCATTCGGCATTTACTTGCAAATGAAGTCACTGCACTTCACAATAAAATCACAATAAGAGCTTTACTCTTCTAAAACTTATTGTACAAGGTTCTGTATGCCAATCACCTCATCCTTACTAAACTGCCTGTCACTCTCTAAATTTAAGATTCCCATCCCCATTTTGAAGGTACAATATCCTGTTTGTAATATATTCACCAACCGTAGATTCAGTGCATCTTCCATTCTCAAATTGTTTACCAATTGTTCCCCACTCCCTTTGTTCCATGATCAGAACCGAATACACTACCACAACTCTCCCTGCTTTCAAGAAATCTCGTAACAACTGGTTTGTTCAACTATAACTTCAATAATAATAATGATCCTTGCATTTGATTTAGCGCCTTATCACGTTTTCGAGACGTCTCAAAGCGCTTCACAGAATATACTGTCAAGTGAATTGAATGTATATTTTGTGGGCAAAATCAATCACTTCAAAAATCACTGCTCAGTGTGCACCACTCCCATTGGAAATATTATATGAAAGGAGTTTAATAAATTCAGATTGTACTTACAGTAATATTGCTAAGGTATCAAATTGTTTTCTTATATAGCACAATTCACAAAAATAAGGTACTTGCAACAGTCTGGTAACTTTTTGGAAATATAATCACAGAAAGTTCCAGCACTGAAACAAGGCCGTTCTACCCATTAAAGCTGCACTGATGTTTTTCTCAGAGTTAATTAATTTAATCCCACTCCCCTACTCATGCCTCCACCACATTAATGTTCTTTTTCAAGCATCAGGCATCCCACCACACAAAAATATACTTTGATGAAACCACAGAGTAAAACTAATGTTAATCAAGCACTTATCAATCAACCTGAAAGCTAATTCTGCTGTACAAACCTATTAAATTTGTTTCCCCAACATGAAGGAAATGCAAAACAAACCGAAAAGAGGGTACTTTCCAACAGTATCCTCCTCTTATAAAAGTCTCAATTCAGTCGTGGGTGATTAACATAAATGCATCCATACCATGTGGCTTCATCAGATTACAACTCAATTTATATCTCAGCATCACGCTCACCTTTCTTTTGCCCCCTCATACCATTTGGACAGGGATTTAAAAAAATCAACAAAAAGTCCCAAGTTTCATTTAACTTCACTTTGGCAAGTTCTAATGTGTCTATCTATGAAGCACTCATATCTCCTATTTTACTTCTATATAAAGGTCCTGCATTTGTCCATACTAAACTTAATTTTACAGCATTCAGTCCAGGATATCCTGCCAAGCTCTCTTTTTAAAAGACTGACTATTACTAATTCCAGGTTTGGACTGCCAATGTGTAGATCTGGACAATATATACCTTACCCAAAACCTACCCCAAATCTGAACTAAGGCCCATCAACAAGTTATTAATCCAAATTAACTTTTAGACCCAAAAGAGGCTCTTGAGAGGATCCAGAACAAGTCTTTTAGAATTCTACAGAAATGATCCTACATCACTTTTCATTGTGAATTTGGGATATAATCTCCAGAGAAAAAATCTGAGGTTTGCCAAGCAAGATCTGTCCATTCTGAAACTGCAATTTATTTGATAAATTTCAAATCAATGTTCTTCTGTTTTGATTCTGACTATGTTTGTTGATTGGCGGACGCATTTCCAGGGGTAAATAATTCCTTCAAAAAAATTATAATAATGAATTGGTCACTTCAATCCACGACTGTTGGACACTGCTGTGTGTGCAATTGGCTGCCACATTTCGCCCACAAAATACAGTCAATTCACTTTACAGTATATTGTGTGAAGCACTTTGAGACGGCTTCGAAGACGTGATAAAGCGCTAGATCAAATGCAAGGATTATTATCATATATTTTTGTTCCCAATAGATTTCCTATTATTGTGGTCAGGCTATTAGGACAATCATTGCCACATTACTTCCCGAATATGGGAGCCATATTTTTTTTCAGAATGCTGGAACTTCATAGTTTCATCAATTCCCTCAAAATGACTCAAAATCCCAGAACAGACGCCTTATGTATTGGATGATGGATAGAATTCAGTCAGTCTACTCACTGGTAAACAAAATCTTCAAGAACTATTCTCTCTTATTCATTCTCATTTTATGGTCCTTTATGGTGTTACAATAACTTCCTCCCTGAATACCTCTTCTTCCTATTATAGTATTGCTAGCCTTTAACTGTTGTAGAATTAGAAGAAAATTACCCCCACCAATTATACTTTGTATCTGTTGCTACATCCCATTTCAGTTCCAATCCACTTGTCACCTCAACATTGATTGGATTTTCTAGATTTGCGCCAAAGATTGAGAGCATTTAAACTATTCATGCGCCAAAAACGCAACTTTAGCAAATTGTGGCTTTAACTTTTGGACCCCAAAAAATTTCTCGGAGCGTTTAGCCATGGGATCTTTTATCATCTACCTGAACAGGCAGACAGGACCCCAATTTAACACCTCATCTTAAAGCAGGGTATCGCAGGTAATGCAGCACTCTCCCAACAATGCACAGGAGTGTGAGACCAGACTGCGAGTTCCATCCATTTTAGAGAAGGAGACTAAATTATAAGTGGTTCTGCATTTCCGAAGGTGATTGGTTGCATTAACCTCAGCGCTTTAGCGGTGCTTGAGTTTAGGAACACAGCTGGATCTGGGGGAGGACTCTTCTCTTTGACTGTGCCTTCAGCTCCCCTCTCGACTCTCTTCCTCCTCCTCGCTCCCGCCCTTCCCTCCCCTCACCCTGACCATTTCCCCCCTCCTCGCTCCCTCCCCTCCCCTCACCCTGACCATTTCCCCCCTGCTCGGGTCATGACCCAACTGTGCAGCGCCTTGGGACGTCCTCCTGACGTGAAAGGCGCTCTATAAATGGAATCTTGTTGTTGTTGTTGTTGTTGACTGTCCTCCTTCTCACCATCCCCCCAACCACTGTCCAGAACAGGTGCAGGATGCTGACATGAACAATCTCAAGACAGAAATGTCCTGCTCTTTTTTTTAACCAATTTACCCTTTAACACGTTCCCATTCAAAAAAAAAAGAAAGACTAAGGGAGTGGGAGAAGAGAGAGTAGGCAACACTGCGTGTTGTGGAAGATAATGTGCGTTTAAGCACATTTCTTAAACACCTGTGCGCACCAAAAAAAAAGTATCTATTGATTCTCCCACTGGAGCAGTTCGCAAAGGAAGGAACCGCCCCACTGCTGTGGCGGTGGTGATGGTGGAGGAGTGAGGATCAAATAAGGACAGTTTCAAGCGGGAGAGTCAGAGGGTCCGGAGAGACTGACAAGAAGTTGCCAACGCATCAGTGGGGGCGGGGGCGAGGGCGAGGCCTACAGGGCGCCGGGGGCCGCCTGGCACCAGGCGTGAGCCGCCTCTCGAGTAAAATGTCCGGCCGAGGCCTGGTGCGGGGCCCCCGGGGGCATGTGAGTGGCTGCCCGGCAGGTGCTGATATCCCTCCCTCCCTCATGTCACTCACCAGCCTTCTCGGGCCAGAGCCGAGGACACGTCGGCCATCTTCCCAGCGAAGCGGGCAATCCACCGCGGCGCCACCGCCGATCGCCCCGCACACGGGAGGGGGAGGGGCCTAGTGACCGAGAGCACGTGATGCCGGCGCCGCGCTCCGTCCGGAGAGTCGAAGGCTCCGCCTGCCCGGCCCGGGCGCGTCGTACGTCACACCCCACGGCACAACCACGGCGTGATGACGTACGCGCTGATTGACAGCCAGCTTCACCCCTCCTGGAGCCTGTGCGCCCTGAAGCTGTGATTGACAGACACGCCAAGGCCTCCCTGTGACACACTGCTACCGACTCTCTGAAGCCATTTGTGTAGGCGCTTCGCCCATCGAATATACAGTCACTCCAATTTACAGTATACCACGTGAAGCTCTCCGAAATGCCCCCCTTGACATGAAACATTCTATGCCAAGTGCAAGAGTTATGGTTTGATTCCCTTGTATCCCTACCACAGGAGACTGGACCTCAGTTTCTCTCATTTGAGAAACGACAGCTTCGGCAAGTCAGCACCCCCCCCCCCCCCCACCCACCACCCGCCACACCCGCCCCACCGCCACACATACTGCAGTGGCAGCCAAGACTCAGATATCAAGTGTCCAGGTGCTATGCGCGGTGAATAAGGGTTTTCCACCAAAGCTCTGGTTAACAGTCACAAGCAATATCCTCACTGTGCCACTAGAGCTCCCTGTGCTTGCTCGACCTCCTTGCTGCTTTTAACACTTAAGGAAGAATGGTTCAAGCCAAGATACTAGACACATTTNAAAAATGCTTGATACTATAACGTGAGGATAGTAGGGAGGGAATTCTAGAAGAATATTATCAACTGGGCCAACCTTCTTCATCCAAACCTCTGGTGATGTGTGATTGTAACACTCAGGACTGCTCTTGCCAAATATCCACACAAGTGTGCTTCCAGTTGATGCTTCGCGATCAGGAATGGAAAACTGGCAAAATGTCCAATTTCTTAACCCAGAGTGCAGGGTTAACCCATCTGTGGTAATAATCTTTGCACTTGGAATAGGGCCTTCCATGTCAGGAGGACATCTCAAAGCACTTCAAATGATAAGTGAAAAGTGTAATGCCTGTATATTTGTAGGTGAACACATTTGTGCACAGCAATGTCCCACAAACAGTCAATTGAATGACCAATTTTACAATAATAATTCTTACATCTGGTATAGCACCTTTTGCTGTCAGGAGGACAACCCAAAATGCTTCACAGGATATACTATATAGTGAAGTGGCTGTGTTTTGTCAGTTAATGTGGTAGCCAAGTTGTGCACAGCAGTGTCCCACAAAAAGGCATGAGGTGAATCATCAATTTTGTGGGGGGTTGATGGCCAGGACACTGGAAAAAAATAAAACTTCTCTTTTCAAATATTGCTATGGGATGTTTAACATCCACTAGAACAATCAGACAACCTCGGTTTAGTATGACATCTGAAGGATGGCACCTCCAACAAATGCAGCACACTCTTAGCATTGCACTGGATAAACCAATTGATTGAAAAGTGATAGGAATGCAAGTGTTAATGCATTTTGACAATAAAACTACTATCCTATATAATGTACATTTATTTATGGCCTTTCACAGCGGGAGGTCATCTCAAAGTGCGTAAATAGCAAAAGCAAGAATTTTTGAAGCACAAGTCCTAAAACAGTGACAATGTTTGACTTCTATGTCAATCTCAACATAGGTTCAAATAAGATACCTCCAAAACAAAGGCATATATTCCTGGGGCAGATAGCCCAAATTTCTTGTAACAAGCAAAGATTGAAGATGGCTGAGGTAAAAGTTTTTCCATCACAGATTCTGGAATTATCTCATACTGTGAGAGCGTTTTGTGACATCCCAACATGAAGGTTGCTCTATATTTGTAAATTGTATTGTATCCGCTTCAAAAGTGGGTATGTGTATTGCTTCCACTTCCATGCAGACCCTGTGACTTCAGGAACAAGGAGCACATTTGTTAAAATTTGAAATGCAATTGTGCATCTCTTATGATACATAAATATGCAGTTCTCACTCTTACCTTTCAGCAGTGTTGTTCTTCATGACCTAAGAACTAACCTTTTATATGTAATAGATTCAATACAGATTTCTGTTCCACAAGTTAGATTCAGGAATATCAGACCTGCACCTTATATAGTTTAAAAATCTTTCTTTGATCTTAAGCATGGTAGATTTCAAAGCTTAATTATATTTTAAAACCTTCCCAATCTGAGTCAAACATATTTCAGTAGTCCCAATGCATGCAGATCAGAAGTTTAAACATCCCAAATATTGTATTATCTCTCAATCACTTACTTCAAATTGATGCAAATGCAATGTGATCTACTAGGGAATCACACATAAGCAGACAGATGAGCTACAGAACAGGGCTTCCTCTTAACTATTTACAGTAAAGTGAACATAGGATTTCTCACACATGTGACAGAGCTCATTCCCATCTATTGAAAAGAATAATCACATTTTCTCATTTGCATCATCATATGTTCCGTTTTCTACTCAACACTTGACAATGCTCAGAATTTCTAGCTAGTGTTCTGGGAGCAATTCACCAAGAATTGGCAAGGAGCAGGAAACAGATTTATGCTGACATTCGAAAAATCTCTTTCACTACGGGTCGAATACACCTCATGTGCAATTACAATAATAATTCTTGCATTTGATATAGCGCCGTTCACCTTAGGAGGAAGTCTCTAAGTGTTTCACAAGATATGCTGTAAAGTGCAATGACTACGCAATTTGGAGGCACATGCAGCAGTCAAATGCACACAGCAGTGTCCCATAAACAGCAATTATTTGAAAGATTGTTGGCCAGGACACCGGGAGAAACTCCCATCTCTTTTTAAATATGTCATGGGATCTCTAACATCCACCTGATTAGGCAGCCAGAATCTTCTAATAATAATAATAATCCTTGCATTTGATATAGCGTTTTTCACGTCTTCTGGACATTTCATGTTACAGAATAACAATAATAATAATCCTTGCATTTGATATAGCGCTTTTCACGTCGGGAGGACGTCCCAAAGCGCTTCACAGAATAGACTGTAAAGTGAATTGACTGTATATTTGTGGGCGAAATGCGGCAGCCAATTGCGCACAGCAGTGTCTCACAAACAGTTGTGGATGGAAATGACCAATTTTTTTTTTTTTTGAGGGATTATTATCAGGGGTATGGAGTAAGGAAACTTGCCCAAGGTTTCACCCTGCCGGGAATTAAACCCAGGACTCTTGCTTGCAAAGCAAGTTTTCTAATCACTGAGCTACAGGACTCCGCAGGAATCTTGATTTAATATCTCATCCGAAGTACAAAGGTACGAATGTTGCCAGCTGAGCCAGCTGATACATGATTGAGCAAATGTGGAGAAATTTGCGAATCAAAATCAAATGTTTTTTTATCAATATTATTTTAAATATGTTCACACATCCAGATCTTCAGGAACATTCAATAACTTAAGTGGTCTAATGGATTGTTAAATGTTGAACTATTGATTTTAACCTGAAAAGTTTTATTCAATTGACAGCAATATAATTTAAGAATAAATCTTCAACCTGTTTCAGGAGCATGTCCAAAATCCCTAAAATCAAATTCATGTTGCATTGAATCAACATCAACAAAGGTCTATAGGTCTGGAGTATTCAATGTAAGGCAGGCAGTGAATTAACTGAATGTTTTCTGGGCGAAACGCGGCAGCCAATTGGCACAGCAGTGTCCCACAAACAGTCATGGATTGAGTGATCAATTTCTTCGGTTTTTTTGAAGGAATTATTATCCCGGAAAGCAATCCACTAATCGTCTAACAACCGGGTTCCAAACTACTGCTAGGTAAAACATAGGCATGTGGAGTAAGGAAACTTGCCCAATATTTAGCCCTGCCAGGAATTGAACTGAGGTCTCTTGATTATGAGGCGAGCGCTCTAACCACTGAGCTACAAGACTCCATGGTGGTGGATAGTGGCAGATTGCTCTCGCATTCACCATCACCTTGCTGGCCACAGCAGCGGCTACTTTTTTCTCCTTAGTCTCCCTGGCTAACCAACCATGTGCCGAGTCATGGTGAAGAGTGCACCTGCACAAAGAAGAAAGTAGCAGCGTCTGAGCCTGCGCCGGACAAAAGAACCAAAAAGGCCAATGTGAGACTGAGTGAAGGGTAAGCGCTTGGTCAGTCGATTCCTGGGGATCGACGATGGCTTAGCTGCTGCTGACAGCACTTTTCAGTCTCCTACTACTCACTCTGATTTGGAGGGGCTGAGTCCCTTCCAGTCCTAGCCAGTCGGTGGCTTGGGAGGCAATTTCAAAGGGTCATTCGGGAGCCATTTGCAGGGGCACTCAGGAAATTTCCCAAATTTACAGTCCACAATTGGAAATAAGTAAAGTATTTGCTTAAAAATCACTTCAGACCAGCAGCCCAGCCAACTGCACAGAATAAGTCCCACTCCAGAGAGCAAGGAGCGGAGCCTTAGGGGATAAATTATACACAGTACTTGCATTCAAATGTCAATTTGACAGAAACTAGAGTGACACGGTGGAATGATTCAAGCAGCAAGATAAATTCAGATATTAAAGTAATTTCAGGATTTTTTTTACAATGGCCAGATTCCAGCTTTCTTGAAATTCAGTTTTTCTCCAATCAGCTCTACAGAAACATTAATTCCCCTCACCTTTAACCCTCTGCTTCTCCATTCTGAGTCAGATCTTCTTTCTTCCCCACCTCCTTTCAGATTTGGCTGAAATTCTAAATCTGCTCCATACAATTGCTCCATTCCAACTTGGCTCGACTCTACACCGCCTCCTCCCCAACTCCGCTTCCCCTTCTTTCCAACTCTGCTCCCCACTCCTCCCATAACCTCCCAGACACACAAATCTTAATTTAGGAACGTGTCACCTTGCAAATGTTTCAACGAATAGCACTTGGCAATAAAATCTACTAAAGTAAATGGTAATTTTGTCAGCCACTGTTAATTAAAAAGTAACGGAAAATGTGGCTTTATTTTCCATGTTGAACAAATATATTGAGTAAAGAGGTTCATTTATAATCTACAGAATATCACTGTGATCAACTGTACACTTTCTTG